GAATCATTGGGTCCTGTTAAAAATCAAAAATAACCAATCAACCTCAGAGTAGACAAAAAGCTTTAGCACTACAAAAAGCAATCCAATTTTTTCAAATAATAGAAACAAAAATGAAATTAACTCACCATCATGTGCCATCTTTTGACTTTTGGCATGTTACTAATCAGAAAACAGCACATGATAGAGCCTTAGTTTTCACGTTAGAAACAAAGCTCAAGAAGTACAAATGGCCTTTTCCCCTTTATGTATAGACTATATACTTCTTTTCAAATCATAATATGCTTGGGTCGGGGATTTAGCTCAATGGTTTGGTGGCCTACCTTGCAAGCGCAAGGACCCGAGTTCAATCCCCAGTACCCCCCCCCAAAAAAAGTCATAATATGCCTATGCATCTATTCATCTTTTACCATAGAATTCTTTTTTTTTTAATTTTATTGAGTTTATTGGTACATTTTAGGGATACAGTACAGTTACATTCATTGTTGGGATCATGTACCTCTACATGGCAAGTCTTGATTCTCATTTTTTCCCCTTACCTCTGCCCTCCCTTCACCCCCTCCTCCCCTCCCCATCTACAAACACTTTATTTTCATCTTTTCATTCTCTCACATTTTTTTCTTTTCCCTTTTTGTTCTTCCCCTACGCATCACACCTTCCCTACACCTTTAGCTCCTTTCTTCAAATTTCTAAATGTCAGTAATCTTATTAGAATCTTACGCATTGTTGCAGAATATTCACACCAGGGAAACTATTTGGTATTTACACATGTGTACCACAGAATTCTTTAGATTCAGCACTGACATCTGCATGCTTTTCCTCATGTTTTCCAGTAGAATATAAAGATAGACTTAAAAATAAGGCCTAGGTGGCACTATTTTACACACACACACACACACACACTCAGTGTGAAATAGTGAAGAACCACAAGCCTCTGAAAAAAATTAAAATTCATTGCTTGTTGCTAACCCAATTTCTTTTGGGTCCCCCAAAAATCTCTCTCAGGTCATAGACTTTCAATAGTTTTTAAAAATAAGCTGGTAATGTAAAATAATATATGCTACCTTTCTAACAAATCAAATAATAAAACAAAAACACCCTGAATGTATAACTTCTACTAGTAATTATCCTCAAAATTCTCAGCCAATGCTCCTTTAACAAAGTAAAAATTATGACAGAATTTTAGTTTCATATATTTCCCTCATAATTTTCACCTCAACCCACAGTACAGAATCCATTTTCCTTCTGCCCAAGAGAACACACAATTGTGAACATGCACCCTGCCCCCAACACAAGTGTTACAGAATGATACACTGGTCGAGACCGCCACAAAATTGATTCCTTTCTTCTCCCTTAGTAAAAGAGTTACAGCAAGGAACATGCCTGCTCAGCTAGACACTACACTTCCCAACTTCTCTTGCCACAATCATATGGCTACATTTTTTCGTTAGCAGAAGGTGAACAGAAAGAAAGTGAGATACTTTCAAGTCTGAATTTTAAAGTCTGGCTCTTAAGGCATCCTCCTCTAATTCATTCTCTTTTCAGGAGCTGGGACACCAGTGGGGATGTGACTGACTTTCTAATACACAGATGGGACAGAGAAGCGTTAAGATGCAAGCATCCAGGTCCCTAAGGGCTTGTGTGGAACAGTGCCATCTGCCAATGTGAACTGCTCCCCTCTCAAATGTTACCTGAGAGAAGGAACCTTTGATTTTCTTCCAGTCACTGAATTTTGGTGTCTTTTTCTACATCAGACTAGCCTTTGCCCTAAAATTTTGTGTTTATCCTGCTTACATACAATGCATCTTATTTTCTATCCTACTTTGTCCTGTAAGAAAGAAAGAAAGAAAGAGAGAGAAGTGTTGGTATTCAAGCCATTAAACAGAATTTTCAACTCAGTAACTGGCTACTATACTAGGAAGAAAAGAAAAAAAAAAAAAGGAAAAGGATAAAGAACATAAATACCAAAATTCTAACCATAAACAATCAAGAGATAATCAAACTGGCCAATTTAACACTTGTTATAAATTCCTTGTCATTAGTATTCTTTCTGAATTAAAAATTTCAAATAAGTTTAAAAAAGTAAGACAAATTTTTTTCATTTGCTAATACTGCTCAACTTTTTTTTCACTTTCTGCTGTGTTGCATTTTCCTCTTATAAAATACTTACTTTTTCATAATTTAATGAAATAATTTTAAAATTCAAATATTTCTGAGTGGTTTTAAAGTTTATCAGTTCAAACAAGAAATCTTTATGTATCTGGTTCACATTATTTTAATCCTCTTATTTCGACTGAACATTTAAATTTTATAGCATTTTCAGAGAGTTGTGCTTCAGTTATTTTGATGACATAAATTAGTGCTTGAAACTGTAAGTTCTTAGAAAACTCTGTAACATAAACTGTAAGCTAAATTTTAAAATTTTAAATGGTTAAAATTATGACTAACTCCTTTTCTATGATAGTACTAAAGATATAAAATATGAAATTATCCAAAAATTATACCATTTTCCCTTTTAGGACAAAAATTCTAGTTCTAGTTCAAAATTCATCAAAGTGTTCTGAATCCTGTCCATGAATTATATCAAAATCTGCATAAACAGTATGCCTAGGACTTTGTTTGAATATCCAATCAAATTTACATAAATTAACTCCAATGTGGTATTTAATATTTAAAAGTTGTAAAAGAAGACTGTGACTATGTAGCCCGGGCTGGCCTTAAATTTGAGATCCTCTGGCCAGTCTCCCAAGGGCTGAGATTACAGGTGTGCTCCACACCAGCAGATTAAATGTTTTCAATCTTAATTTTTAGAATTAAAATGTGCCTAAAGATGTCTCATAAAACAGTTCTTTAAACCCATATATATTAAATGTTTAATTATTTTAATTAGATAGCACTTAATACTATATTTTCATAATATACCACAAAATTTGTTCTTGTTAATGGGAGGTAGTGGGGGTCTACATAATTCAAATAAGAGCATTTAATATATAAATAACACTTTGATTAAAATATGGGAAATATAAGTAAGCAAACTAATAATCATTTACCCTTGCACAAAGTTCTAATATTTTATACGCTTAATATTTCCAAAGCAAGGCATTAAACAATGCCAGTGATAGATTATAACCCACTGACTAAAGCATGAATCCAAAAGTGCAATAAACCAATAAATAAAGGAGAAGGAAAAGTACTTCTTATAAAGGAATGCCAACTAACAAATGTCAAATCAGTGACAATTAGAAAGTTACCATCTGGCAAGCATTACGGTAATAACTGATTCAGTCACGAATCACCAATGGTAACAAACAAGTAGAAAGTTCAATGAGAAATAGGCTTTTTAAAAATAGTATTCCCCAAAATATATTTGTTAATAACAAAGGCAAAAATAATTCACTTTGGGCCTGGGATTTAGCTGAGTGGCAGCGTGCCTGCCTCTCAAGCACAAGGTCCTGAGTTTGATCCCCAGTACCAAACAAAACAAAACAATAGTAACTTTACAGTGGAGAAAGCTAACAAGTACCACCTCAACAAAGTCATTGAAAGAGCATCATTAATAACAAGACAAAGTGATATCACGTGAGTTCTGAGAGACACAGTAACTAAATGTAAATGGGATCCACAACTGGGCCCTGGGCTAAAATTTTATCTTCCTATGAAGAATATTATTGGAACAAATGGCAAAATTAGAATATATGCTGTACATTTGATAAACCATTGCATCAATGTCAATTCCTTGAATGTCTTTGTTTTTAGAAAGTAGGGTACCATATCTGGAACTTATTTTCATATGGTTCAGAAAAAACATAACCCTGAACAGTGCAAATGTGGGAAAAAGGTAACATCTGGGGTACCTGCTTGAGGTAATATGAATACTTTGCATTATTCCTGCCACTTTCTTGTAACTTTGAAATTGTTTCAAAATAAGCATTAAACCAGTTAAAAACAATAAAGGCAAACAGACAAAACACTAGCTAAAATGTAAGAAAAGGGATTAGAGAGTAAATTACAGGTACACACTATGGGTTACAATTTTTTTTTTAAGAGTAGGAAAAATTTATTGAGCAAAAGAAAGCTTCTGTCTAAGAGAGATAGAAGGGGGACTGGAAAGTGGGCTGCCCGCTCAACCCACTTTTTTTTTTTTTTTGGTACCAGGTATTGAACTCAGGTCCTTGCACTGGCAAGGCAGGAGGCGGAACCACTGAGCTAAATCCCCCACCCACCCCACTTTTCAAAGATGTTTTAACAGCAAAGCCATGTGGTGAGGCAGATACAAAGTGGGACAAAACTGTAAGACCCAATGGAAATTTATAAAGTGGGCATGAGGTGGGGCAAAACCACGACCAACCAATAAGATTACAAGTATAGTCACCCAGATAATAATGATTAAATGAGGGTCAAATGGAGGATCAAGTCCCATAGGAAGTGTACAAGGATGGGGTCAGGGATATTTCCTGGAAAGGCTGGGTTAAGACCTTGCCTCCCCCACCCTAATGGGTACAATTGTGGCTTGTTTCTTTCTCTTTTTTTTTTGGTACTGGGGAATCAAACTCTGCACTGTGTACTTGTGAGGCAGGCATGGTACCAAGAAGCTAAATCACTGGCCTGGCTTAATTATTCATTTGCTTGAGTTACTATTGCTTTTGCTTAAGCATCTTGGGGTACTTTACAAACATGTTTTATTTCCCTCATTTTATTTTACTTTATTTTGGTTTTTTGAGACAGGGTCTTGTTATGTAGTTCAGGCTGGCTATGAACTCATTATGTAGCTCAAGCTTGCCTTGAACTTACAGTGATCCTTGTGACTCTACCTCCCGAGTGCTGGGATTACAGGCGTGCACCACCACACTGGCTTCCTCATTTTACAAATGGAAAAATAAGACATGTAATAAAGTTCCCAAAATGTGGCAAATTTGTTTTGGAAGGGAGGCAAGCAAAAGGTTTTGCCTAATTGATAACACAGAGTTAAGGTATGATAAACACACCAGGAGGCATTCGTTTACCTTGCTCTATTGTAAATCACAGGCTCATTTTCTTCTTGTACAGTTGTCAGCATATCCAAGTCATGGAATATTTTCTGCATATAGTCCAAATACTTGTATCCTGAAGCTCTTTCTACTATGGCTGCCAGGAGGGTATAGCCAAAAGTTGAATACAAAAACTGACTACCTTGAGGTATCATTGCAAGGAGGGAAAAAAAGAAAATGTTTGATTATTATTCAAAAATTGAACTGTTTTCCTATTGAAAATAAGCATACCTTTAAAGCTCAATATTTTACTTCAGCATTTAGAAAAAAATCACAAATGATAAATCAACAAATGTAGTTAACTTTGTAATGGCCTTGCTTACTCAATCTCCCTAGCACAAGAAAAAAATAACGAACAGTATGTTTAATTAACAATTCAGGGCTTGGGATTTAGCTCAGTAGTTCTGCCACCTGCCTTGCAAGCACAAAGACCCAAACTTCGATCCCTGGTACTAATCAATCAATCAATATTCATATGAATATGTTCCATTCTTTGATAGTGATATAAACAAATAAATTCTATCTCAAAATAAAGCAAAACAAAAATCCTTCCAACTGACAACCAACTAGAAAGAGTAGGAAGGGGAAGAAAAGAAAATTCTTCAGTAAAACTATCTTATTCTCAACTATCTACTATCAATGGTTTAAGGTATAAAGAGATCTGATTTTAATAAAAATATATACAAAAACCTTGTTTCAGATACATACTGAAATACAAATATATATTTGTATATGTATATTATTTCAAATACATAATTTTGTATCATTTTGGCTTCTGGAAACTAAAGATTTTATGATCCATACCAAACACGGGTAGAAACCTTATTTTAAAAGACAAAATCCATAATTTTATTTTCTTATTAATCACACCTATATAAAATTTATTCAAGGTTCTTGCCTACATGGTTGACCCTCAAGGCTGACCTTAAACATGCTATGTAGCCCAGGCTAGTCTTAAAGCTCATAATCCTCCTGCCTCAGGCTCCCAAATTCTGAGATTACTGTTACAGTCAACACTAATTTCTTGAAAGCATGAAGGCACACAAAAAAATTAGCAATACTTTATCCTTTCCACTTTGGACCAGGTTTTATTTGAAGAAGCTATTTTCCAACATTTCCAAATAATTTTCTATGAATATATTTCTTGTATTTTTAATTTTTTGGGGGGGCAGGTAAAAGGGATTGAACTCTAGGGACCCTGAGGTTATTTACCTACCTACTTACCTATTTATGTTTGTTTTGTTTTGTTTTTTTTTGTACCGGGGAATCGAACTCAGGTCCTTACACTTGTGAGGCAAGCAGCGGAACCACTGAGCTAAATCCCCGGCCACCTACCTATTTATCTTGAGACAGAGTCTCAGTAAGTTACCCAAACTGGCCTCAAACTTGTGCCATCTTCTTGCCTCAGCTTCTTAGGAAACTGGCCTTACAGGTGTTCAGTACCATGCCTAGCTTCCACAAATACCTTGATACTGAGCATATTCTGCTAAATCTAAACACCAAGTGCTTCGTTTCCAGGCTTCATGAGAAACTACAGACAAAAAGGCAGACACTGGACTGGCCACTATTAACAACCATAGTGAATTTTGGATTTCCTGGAAATCAACATTTCAATAAGGACTTTGTTGAAGTTATTAACACTCACCAGGCTTAAAGAATAATGGATCATTTTTAAATAATCTTAAGGATTCAACTGAATTTTCAAACTTTTCTTTCAAATATAATTCGCCTTGTTCAAAATCATTTTTTTTCTTGCCCGGTTTTGAATTCCGGGATTTGGCTTCACTGTCTGGCTCTGTCTTAGCTTTAACGAAGTCATCCTTTTCATGACTTTTGCCTCCTTTTTCTTTGAATTCTTTTTCTTGGTCAGATGCCAATGTCCCTCTCATCATAATCAAGGCTTTGTAAGCCTTCTCTTCTTTCACCTTTTTCATATCCTTCTCATAATGACGAATTCCACTTAAATGGGAAATTAGCAATCTTGTTGTGACAGAAACCTAATTGTAAAAACATGAAAATTAAGTTACAATATTAAACTGTATAATCACAAGTTAACAGCCTTGGAATGAATGCCTTACTAATGTTTTTGTTTCAAAATGGGCTGGAACAATGTCATGCATAGATCGTTATCTTAACATTTCAGAAAAATACCTACCAGATTATCATCTGTACTAAAAAAATCCATTAATAAAAACTGAAAGTAAAGAACTCTATGAAACATTTTAAGTAAAGTTCTAATATAAACAATTTTAACATACCATTAGTAAAATAAACTGTGAGTTTCCTACCTTTTCACCTTCATACTCTTTTTCTGGGAATTCAGGAACATAATGTTGTACTGGAATATCAAGATCCAGTTTCCCTGCTTCCCATAATTTGGCAAGAGCAACCATTGTGAGGCTTTTGCTGATGCTGGCAATTCTCATGACTGTCTCTGGTTTACATGGCACACGGTTCTCAACATCTGCATAACCTAGGCCTGTGGGGGTAAAAAGCAAATTCTCTATTAATAGCCTCATGGTCAAACAAGCCTTCAAAAACCGAAATCATCCTGTCTCAAAAGGTCGCCCGTATTTATCTAAAAGAAAACAGATATCCTATTTCCAGAGTTACCAAATACTGGACATGTAAAGATGAGAGTCTCAGCAACACTGACAGTAGTGAGGCTGACAATGTATTCCTACAAATTGAAAATGTACCACGTGCACTTTTCCACCTGATTCATATACGTGGACCCTCAAGTTACCATCAGCCTGACATATGAAAAACTTGGGTTAATTAGGTTAATGGAAGATTCATTTGCCGCTTGTTACCTACAGCGTGTGCACAGGGAAACATCCAGATCTCAGCTGTATTGACTTAAAACCAACAGGAGTTACAGCCACTCTTCAGACACTGATTGAGTTTGTAAGTTAAGGGTCCACTGTGCTCATTTTTCTTAGCTTATCTTAACAATTTCTTTAGTCTACATTTTAAATAAATAACATCTTTGAAATAAAACATTATCATTCTTTGGATTGCATTCATTCTTGATTTTTGAGTGAGCCTCCACAGAATTTCTTAAAATAGCCACCCAATAAAAACCAACATGAAGAGATCTGCAAATCCAGCTGACCACCAATTTGGAAAAAATGTTTGGTTTTCATGTTCTGCACAGGGTGCAAGTGTGGAAATCTAAGAGATATAAGAACATAATTCTGAAAAGAAAGATAAGGAATACAATCACAGTTTTTCGTTTTATTTTTTGGTACGAGGAATTGAACTCAGGACCTTGCACTTGCCAGACAGGTACCGTACTGCTGAGATACATCCTTGTCCCTACAATGGCTGTTTTTAAAATGGAGATATATACTATGCTGAAAAATTTGTAGAAAAACAAAGCCCTCACCCATAGAGCTATGTTCATTAAATTTTTGATTATAAGATTTTTTAAAAATTAGCTAACTACTTCTCCCATCAAATTCTTCTAAAATTACAACTTTCCTTAAATGAGATCTAAAATGTCATTTACTGAGCAGGACGTGGTGGTGCATGCCTGTAATCCCAGCACTCGGGAGGCTGAGGCAGGAGGATCGCTATGAGTTCGAGACTAGCCTGGGCTACATAGTGAGTTCCAGATCAGTCTCACCTACACAGTGAGACCCTGTCTCAAAAAACCAAAAGGGAAAAAAAAAGTCATTTACTAAAAGTAAGATTCCTAAAAACCTGGGGTGACTAACTGAATCCATTTTTGTGCAGTAAAGAAGTTATGCTACAACTTGCACTTTGATAAAAGTATAAAATTAAAAGAACAAAAAATGGGGCTGGAGATTTAGCTCAGTGGTGCCACCACGGGCCTAACAAGCACAAGGTTGCAAGTTCAATCTCTCTAGTACCCGCCCCCAAAAAAAGAAAAAGAAAAGAAAAGAAAAAAAAAAGAATTGTAAAATGCCTATGCCACTAACACTTATGCCTAGTAAAAGGAGTAATAAAGCGTAAACTCCTTGAGGACAAGGAGTATTGTGCATCCCTATTATTCCCTACTGTGCCTTTTCCAAAACGCAAGACTCAATAGTGGACTGAATTTGAAAAGAAAAAAACAGAAATCTTGAGGTTTTATGCATTTTAACGGTTGCAAATATACAATACTGGATACTTGATGGCTTAATGGATTGCTCTATATACAACTTTCAGACTAATAAATCCAATCCTACGAGAAAAGTGAAGAAAGAACCCATTTTAAGACTCCAATTATTTTATTAGTTATATTTTAATCATTTATTTTTGGTGCTGGAGATTGAACCCATGTCCTCACACACGCTAAGCACACACTCTACTACTGACCTACATATATCATCAGCTCTATTAGCTATATTTAAAATCTTGCTGATTAAAAAAATAAACTTGGATCCTTTATTCTATAGACTTGTCTCTACAATATGTTTCACTTTATGTAAACTGAGTAGCAAGTTCATGGAATTCATTTCAACCAGCAAAATATTAAGTTTTTTTTAACCAGTTGGCACTAAATAAGTCACTAAGTTGACACTTTTTTGAGCCCACCTTCTGACCAGACTTCTTTTCCATCTACAGAAACTCCAACCACTATGCCGGGTGCGCCCACCTCATCCTAAAAGCGAAGGTGAAAAGAAGGAAAACTTCAAACATTGGCTGAATCACCTCGGAAGCCTCCAAAAGCTTTCAAGCCGGGCATCCCCGGAACCTCCCCTTCTGACCACGCCCACCAGGAAGCCGCGCCCACCGGCTCGGCTCCAGGGCCGCTAACTGCGAGGGGTGCGTCGGGTCCGGACACAGCCGGGGCAGGGCCGTCCCCAGGGCGGAGGTGATCTCACCCCCGACTTGGGCAACACCGACTTGGGCAACCCCGACTTGGGCAACCTCAGCAGGGTGAGACTGTGGCTGG